AACAAGGTAAGAGCACATGGAGTTATGAGTAATTTTTTTAGTGTCAATAGAGGATTGGCTAACCAACAGAAAGTAGAAAGTTGGGATAAAAATAGATCTTTTGTTTGGCTGGCAAGATGTAACTCGTGGGATGCCACAAGATTCTGTCCTCAAGCCCTAACAATTTACAATCTGTATTAATAATTTGGATACAGGAACAGGATATACTACTGCTGAGTTTTCAGATGACATTAAAATAGGTAGGGGAAAAGTTTCAACCGAAGAAATAAGACATTAACCAATCGGTTATATATACATTAGGAGAATAGGCCAAAATTTGGCGTTGGAGTTTAAGGTGAATGAGGATGACGTTATCCATTTTGGTTGGAAAAATGAAAAGGGAACTCATTATTTAAATGGGGGGATCCAGATGTTCTCATGCATGACTGCCAGTATGCAGGTAAGAAGGGTAAATTTAGTTTTTGTACTGATTGCTAAAGGAATGAAATATAGAAGTACAGAAATGTTGTTGCAATTGTACAAGACATCTAGAGTACTGCATATTGTTTTGGTCCTCTTACATGAGGAAGGATGTAATTGCATTCGAGAAAGTCAGTGAAGATTTTCCAGACTAATTCCCGAAGTGAACGGTTTGTTTTCTGAGAAGAAATTGAGCAATTTGGGTTTATACTCACGAGAGTTTAAAAGGATGAGGGGAGAAATAATTGAGGCATATAAGATGCTACAGAGGATTCACAAAGTGGATGTAGAAAGGATGTTTCTCCTTGTGGAGCAATCTAGAATGAGAAGCCATAGTTTTACACAAAGGCATGGCAGATTTAAGAGTGGTGAGGAGAAATTACTTCACTGAAAAAGTCATGTATTTGTGGAATTCACTCCACCTGAGTGTTGTGGATGCCAGGACAAAAAAAAAACCTAAGGAGGAGATAGACAGATATTTAATTAGTAATGGGTTAAAGGATTATGGGAAGTGGGTAGGACAATGCAGTTGAGGCCAAGATGAGATCAGCCATATTCGTATTAAAGGGCAGGGACTGAATTGCTTGCATCTTCTCTTAGATCGTCTGTCCTTATGCTATTGCCTCCCCTTAGTATTCATGTTGCATAAGAGATGGTTTGCAGTTGGGAGGGGCAATCATCTAGATGTATTGGGCTGAGGTCAGCAATCAAGATGGTAATTGGGACAATTAGTGCTGGAATAGGCTCTTCCCCAGTGTTGTGAAGGTCTGGGTGGAGATACACTTTCTCCTGTCTCCCGAGAGGAAAGCTAAAAGAGACAATTACCTGGTGAACCTGACATCTCCAACCTTACTGTTACTACCAGGCCTCCCCATCACTAAAATGACCAAAAATAAGTCAAGATAATATCAAAATGGACAGCAGGATTTACTTTAAGTATATAAAGTGAAAACAGGCCCATTAGAGAATGGGGCTGTGTAAAAAATAATATGGTAACCAGGAAAGGCAGAGGAAAAAATCATTATTTTGTATCGTTTCATTCAATAGAAGACATCAATAGCATTCTAAAGACGCTGAATAGCCAATGGAAAAAGGTGGAGAGAGATAATAAACACAATAACTGTAACTACAGAAAAGGTACTAGGGAAATTAATGTCATCACAGATCATATAAGTTCCCTGGAAGTGATGGGTTGCATCAGGATTTTAAAGGAAGTAATTGCAGAGATAATGCTTGCTCTGGCTGTAATCTTCCAAGAATCCTGTAAGAGTCCCAGATGGTTGAGAAATTACCAACTACCTTATTCAAAAAGGGAAGGAGACAAGAAAACAGGTAAATTAACATCTATCATTGGGAAAACATTCAAATCTATTACAAAAGGTGAAATAATAGAACGTTCTGAAATGCATAATATGATCAAACAGAATCAGCATTGCTTCCTGAAAGGGAAAACCATGCCAGAAAAATATATAAGAATTCTTTGAGGTGGTAGTAGCAGGATAGAGTAAAATCCCTACAGTGTGGAAGCAGGCTGTTCGGCCTATCGAGCACCACCAACACTCCAAACTGCATCCCTCCCAGAACCATCTTATCCCTGTAACCTTGCATTTCCCAACTAGTCTGTACATCCCTGGACACTATGGGTCAATCTAGCATGGCCAATCCACCTAATCTGCATATCTTTGGACTGTGGGAGGATTCCGGAGCACCTGGAGGAAACCCATGTAGACACTGAGGGATCGTGCAAACGCAACACAGACGGTCATCCAAGGCTAGGATCGAACTGGAGTCCCTGGCACTGTGAGGGCAGCAGTACTAACCAGTGAGTCACTGTGCTGCCCACAGGGTAGATAAAGGGGAAGCTGTTGATGTCATATATTTGGCTTTTCACAAAACATTTGATAAGATATCACAGAGGCTTTGTAATAAAGTAAGAGCTTGTGCTGTTGGAGGTAGTATATCCGCATGGACAGAGGATTGTCTAAGAAAGAGGAGACAAAGTTGGGGTTTAATGGGGACATCTTCAAGATGGCAGCCTGTACCTAACAGAGTGCTGCAGACATCTGCGCTGCGACCACAATTATTTACAGTGTATATCAAAGCCTTCGATGAAGGAAGCAAACTTGCTGTAGAAAGTTTGTAGATTACACAAAAATCCATGGGAAGACAAGTGGTGAGGATGACACAAAGAGCCTGCAGAAGGATATGAACAGGTTAAGTGAGTGGGATAAATTTTGGCAGATGGAATATGTGGGGTTATGCACTTTGGTAGGAGAAGTAGAGGAAATTGTTGCTATTTAAACGGAGAAAGATTACGAAAGCTACAGTGTGGAGATATTTGAGGGCTCTGGCACATGAATCACCAGAAGCTAGTATTCAAAATCAGCAAGGAATAGGGAAGGTAAATGGAAATTCTGGCCTTCATTTCAAAGGGAATGGAGTATCTAGATAAAATAATACAAAGCTCTAGTAACTGTACTAGTTATATGATTTCCAGAATACTGTAAACAGATTTAGTCCCCCTGTTTAATATATACTGTTATTGGAGGCAGGCGAGAGAAGATTTTTTAGATTGATCACTGGTACAGAGGGATTTTCTTTTGGGGAGAGATTGTAGTTTGGGCCTATACTCATTGGAGTTTAGAAGAATTTAAGAAACAACCTTATTGAAACATATAAGAATCTTAAGTGGTTTGACACCTATGGTAGAGATTGTTTCCCATTGTGGGAGATCCTAAAACCATTCAGAATAAACTCTGGGTAAGGAGTCATCTATTAAAGACAGAGATGAGGAGGAGGTTTTTTTTCCGTCAAAAGGTAGTGAATCTGTAAGGGTTGTCAAGGCTTGGTAGTTAATTATATTCAAGACTGAGATTGACAGATTTTTAATCAATAAGGGAATCGGGGGTTATGGGGTAAGGGCAGGAAAGTAGAGTTGAGGATTATCATATCAGGCATGTTCTCTTTGAAAGACAGAGCAGACTTGATGGACTGAATGACTATTGCTGTTCCTACATTTTACGGTCACTGGGAATCCCATGCAACAACAGTCCAATTTAAATGAGACTCACAACTGCACTGTGGGAGTCCAATTTATTTATGTTAATTAAATGTTCCATCTCCCTCTCTGACACAAAGTCAGATTTCTTAACATCCACTACAATGAAACAATATTTTAAAAAACTTAATTCATTTTCACAACCTGTTTTTCATGCTTAATTATTGAACCACACAACTGACCTGACCTACTGTCAGTGCATCGTGGCCAATATTAAAGCCATTATTTCTGCTGTTATTCCTCCTAGAGGCTCACTATCACATTTATTTTCCACTTTTAAGCAAAAATTACCAACATTCGAATTAAGGAGTACAGTTAGGAAATCCATTCCTTTTGCTCAGGTTGGAAATTTGTATCCATTCCTTCTGCGTACTCAGCTGAATTTATCTCATTTCATTGTTTGCTAATTGACATCAAGACAGAGAAAGCATGTTGATATGTGGAGTCCCTCCAGCGTTGCTTCCATTGGGTCTCATAGAAGTTATTATTGAGTGGCTCCCTACAGAGAGGAGTGACCTGTAATTGCAAGCCACTATATGATTGGAAAATGCTACATCCAGGGGTATTTTTGGGACTATATCTCACAGCAGGAGAACACTTTATGTTGTAATTATTTTTCAGTCTTTTCTTTGACAGCTGAAAAACTGCAACATCAATTTCTTACTACGTGGATTTAAGCAGGTCAGTGAATCTATGGAATTCACTGCCATAGAAGGCTGTGGAGGCCAGGTCATTGAGTATATTTAAGATGGGGATAGAAAAGTTCTTGATTTTCAAGGGGATCAAGGGTTACTGGGGGAAAGCGGAAGATGTGGTTGAGACATTTATCAGCCATGATTGAATGGCAGAGCAGACTCGATGGCTGAACGGCCTAATTTCTGCTCCCAAGTCTTATAGTCTTATGATCTTAAGACAGTTGCCAACCACCAAATTCTGAAGACAATTAAGGGATGATAATAAATGCTGGCCTTGCTCATGACATTCACATCCCATGAATGAATGAAAAGGTTGTGATATTCTATTTAACAAGGGAATACTTTATTTCTATGAAGAGTGGTGGAGATAAAATAGGAAAGCAAATCAGGGGAAAATGAGATAGATCCCATGTAGCTGCATCAGTCCCAATTATATGTTCTGGAACTGATATCCAAACTTTGTTTCCAGAGTTCTCAATTGTTTGAACAAGTAGTCTTTGAGTTCTATCAGGACTAAAAGCATGATTTGCAAATACACTCTTTCATGAGCACAGCTTTCCTGGTGGCAGTGAAGGTGACAGCTGCTCTCACCTTCCATCTTCTGGTTTCCATCAGCTCCATGCAGCTTTTACCGCAAGCCACAGCCCGGCTATCATATCTAATTGTATGAGCCAGGTGGCAGCTGCCTTACTTAAGGTGGCAGATCATCATATCAATTTTTGTGACAAAGAAAGGGAAATTGAACATAGTTTAATCTTCATGCTTTTTTTTTTCTTGTTTTGCCCTAGGTCCTGGAATGAACAATTAACAAATCTGATGAAATGTGTGCACTTCCTCAGGATGCAATTACATTCCAAATTGGAGGGGATGTGTACCAATAATGTAAGTAGTCTCTGATAGAGAGTAGACATGCACATATGTATTTGTTAATTTCCAAAATCCCTTGATGGTGCACTCATTCCTTTGGGTCTACACATTAGGCTGAGCAATGAAGGGTGACTGTGATCTTCAGTCAGATTCGTCAGTTCAAGAAGTTGCTCAGTTGATTTAACCATAACAATATCAATTTGAAGAATCAGAAACTGATGTAGAAGTGGGAAAAGTACTGAAAGAATAGGAAACAGTGATTAATATGTAACTTTAGTTAAATGAAAGTTGAACTCAACTGAAAAATATGAAACATTATCCACTAAATATGCTGCAAGCTTTTAACACTTGTCACATAATTGTAAGACAGATATTGATTTATAACATAATATAATATGGCTAATTGTAAGTTGGTATGAATTAAGATATAATTACATAATTTTCTGGCATCTACTGCTAATTATTATGAAATGAACTTGCATGAATTGTATCATAGTACTTATGTATTTAAATGACAAAATGCATAAATATGGAAATTTTCATAGGACAACAGCTGAAGAAACTGTTTGCTGTCTGTACATTGTAGAGATTAATGTAAAATGAATGTCTGAACCACCTGGGACCTCAGTGAGTAACATTGCATAATAGATTCCAAGCTGTTGGTTTAAATCTCTGCTTTCAAGTCACTTACTATGAATAGACAGTGCTATAAAGTAAATTGCAATTCATGAGTCATAACAAACTTTTCACTTGAAAATCTTATCAAAAGATAAGAACTATGTACAACAAATGATTCTTATTATGCCTTTACATTATTTTTAATTATTTCCTATTAGCTATACAAGGAATGTTGGCAGTATCCTTACATTAAAAACAACAAGGACTTGTCTTTAACGTAAAACGATTTTAATATAGGAAAATATGACAAGGTACTTCAAATGGGTATAATTAAACAAAAGCTGATGCCAAACTAAATTTGGATGTAAGAGGTGAAGGCCTGGTAAAAGAGATAGGTCGAAAGGAGAGAGCTAAAGACAGAAAGGTTAGGAAATGAAGGCACTTATCAAGTAGATTCTTCGAGTTATTCAGCTAAAGACATGATCTTATGTATTGAAGTCATTTGGCAATGCATAGAGACCAGAGGTGGAGAAATCATAAGCTTCTAGGTTTGGAGTAACCACCAGAAATAGGAATAGAGAGGATGTTGAAAGATTTGAACATTAGGATAAGAATTTTTAAATTGTGATGTTGGTGGCCTGGGAGCCGATCTGGGTCAGCCAGCCCAAGCTTGATGTGTGAATGGAATTTGGTGCAAGCTTTGATAATAGCAGCAGAGTTTGGAACAGTTGAAATATGTGGCAGGTAGGGGAGACTAGCCAAGAAAGTATTTAAACAGTTATGTCTGGAGTTAACAAAAGCATGAATGAAACATTCAGTCGTCAGTTGGCTGAGCAGAGAAGGGCAGTATCGAATCTCAGTTCAAAGGTGAAACTAGACATTCTTTGCAACGGGGAATATGGAGAGTTGGGAGTACAACTCATGGAATGCCATAGATGAAAAAAGTTCAGTTTAGCCTGGGGAAAGGTCTGAGAGAGGGGTGAAATTAGCATTCTGAAATGGAATTCCTGGTGAGGAACAAAGACAATAGCTTTCTCAATAATTAATTTGAGGAAACCATAAATCATCCAGGACTAAACATCAGACCAACAGACTGACAACATATTGGCAGTGGAAGGCTCAAGAGAGATTGTGGTGAAGTGGAGCTAAGTGCTGCAACTGAATATGTGGAACCAAATGCCATGATTCTGAATTAGGTTACCAAGGGGCAGCATTTGGATGAGAAGTCAGTGGAGACCAAGAGCTTATCCTTGGGGAACTCCAAAGGCCTGTGGCAATGTAAAATATTACCTAAAATATTTAATTCCATTATCTAATATCAGTAAATATAATAAATTATACATGAGGACAATGAAGGTGATGCATAATTTAACAAAGGAAATAGGATGTGCACTTGAAAGAAATAAATGTACAGGGCTATGGGGATAGCACTGTAGAATGGAAATGATTATATTGCTCCATAAAGAGCCAGCACAGATCGATTTGCCAAATTGTCTGTATTGTAATGGTTTTATGATGCAATGACATGGAAATATTATATGTATCATCTAATATGTCTAGATTTTAACAAGTTAGAGTATTTGTACAGTAAATACATTTACAACACTTCTTGAGAGTTCATATATTATTATCAGGACTGCCCTGGCCATGACTCCCATGTCGTCTATTCCATTCTCACTCACTGTAAAAAAATAAATTGCATCCAGCCAGCTAGCTAGTGCATTGGAAAACCAACATTCAGTACCACAGAACAGATGAGGACATTTGAACCACTGACCCTAGAAGCTACATTGTATGGGCATGTTTTGAAAAAACAGCAAAGAAGAACAATACAACACAGGAACAGGCCCTTTGGCCCTCTAAACGTACGCCAACACATTTTGCCCTTCCATACTAAAACTGTCCTCACTTACAGGATCCGTAATCCCTCTATTCCCTGCTTGTTCATGTATTTGTCCAAGTGCTTCTTGAATACTGCTATTGTGTCTGGCTCCACCACCTCCTCTGGCAGCATGTTCCAGGCCACTCACTACCCTTTGTGTGAAAAACTTGCCTTGCACATCTCTTTTAAACCACGCACCCAACCCCCCACCCCCCCCCACCACCACGCCGTACCTTGAACCTATGTCTCCTTGTAATTGACCCCAACACCCTGGGAAAAAAAGCCTCCTACTTTGCATTCTATCCATGCCATTCACAATCTTAAACTTCTATTAGGTTGCCCCTCAACCTCTTGTGTTCAAGTGAAAACAAACCCAGTCTATCCAACCTTTCTTCAATCCTAAAATCCCCCATACTAGGCAACATCCTGGTAAACCTTTTCTGTACTCTCCCCAAAGCATCCGCAACCTTCTCGTATTGTGGTGATCAGAACTATATGCAATATTCCAAGTGTAGCCTAACTAAACTTCTATAAAACTGCAGCATAACTTGTCTATCCTAATACTCAATGCCCCTTCAAATGAAGGCAAACATGCCGTAAACCTTTTTAGCTACCTTATCTACCCACACTGCCACCTTTAGCGATCTGTGGACCTGCACACCTAGATCACTCTGCATATCAATACTCCTAAGGGTTCTGCCATTCACTGTGTAATTTCCAACTGTACTTCATCTTTCCCTCACTTCACCTCACATTGTCTGGATTAAACTTCATCTGCCATTTTTCTGGGCATGCTTCCAAATGATTTATATCCTGCTCTATCCTCTGACAATCCTCCTTACTATCTGCAAGAGCACAACTCTTTGTATCATCCACAAACTTACTAATTAGACCAGCTACATTTTCCTCCAAATCATTTATGTAGATCACGAACAGCAGTGGTCCCAGCATTGATCCCTGTGGAACACTACTAGTCACACCCCTCCATTCTGAAAAGCATCCTTTCGCCGTTACCCTCTGTCTCCTATGACTAAGCCAGTTCTGTGTCCATCTTGCCAGCTCACCCTGATACCATGTGACTTTACCTTTTGTACCGGTCTTCCATGAGGGACCTTGTCAAAAGCTTTACTGAAGTTCATGTAGACAACATTAACTGCTTTTCCCTCATCAATCATCTCCATCACCTCCTCAAAAAAACTCGATCAAGTTAGTGGGGCATGATCTTCCCCACACAAAACCATGCTGTCTATCACTAATGAGTCCATTTGCTTCTAAATGCATACAAATCTTGTCCCTGAGAATCTTTTCCAATAATTTCCCTACCACTAACGTGAGACTCACAGGCCTGTAATTTCCAGGATTATTCCTGCTACCCTTCTTAAACAATGGGACAACATTGACTATTCTCCAGTTCACTGGGACCTCATCTATGGCCAAAGAGGATACAAAGATGTTTGCCAATGCTCTAGAAATTTGTTGTCTTGCCTCCCTCAGTATTCTGGGATAGATCCCATCAGGACCCAGGGAATTATCGACCTTAATACCTTTTAAGATGGACAACACATTTTCCTTATTAATAGCAATTTGGCTTAGAAATTTGACACTCCCTTCCCTGAGATCATCCGCTACCAATTCCTTCTCTTCGGTGAATACCGGCACAAAGTATATGTTTAGGATCTCACTTGCCTCTTCTGGCTCCACACATAGATTCCTTCCTTTGTCTTTGAGTGGGCTAACCCTTTTCCTGGCTACCCTCTTGATTTGATATAGATACAAAAAGCCTTAGGATTCTCCTTAATACTATTTGCTAATGACTTTTCATGAATTCTTTTAGCCCTTCTAATTCCTCATTGAAGTTCTTTCCTACTTTCCTCCTAGACATTATTTATGCTTCTTTTTTTCTTTCTGACCAAAGTCTCTGTCAAAGTGGTAAATGGGGGAGTTTGAAGTGTATCACCACAATATTCACTGTTGTGCAGCACCTGGCAGCCAGGTTAGGGCTTTTGACCTATTTGCTTACAGATTTCCTTGGTTGAGCATTGATCTAAGAGAGAGAAATATTTGGGGAAAGAATGGGTGCAGAAAATGCCATTCCTTATTGGCAAAGCTAAATAAATCACACAGCATATAAAGACAGTATAAGATTTCTGTCAGCCAGTTTTTTTGTAAATATTAAATGGAAAATAATTATCTGAATTATTTTTTTAAAAACTAACTTTCTAGCAATCAACCCTTTCTAAGGGAAAAAGTATATAAAACTAACTGCATTTTATAAACTTCCTTCATCAATTATTATTTCTTACAAGATTATTGCAAACTTTATGACATTGCAGCAATAAGGTCAGGTTTCTATTTATTTGTATTCTTTTCAGTATCTTGTTCTACTTTCTGAGCATCAATGTGTGATTATTCAAGCTCCTTCTGTTGCTGTTCAACAAAATGCGAACAATTGGGTGGCATTGAGATTTTTTTGTATTCATTCTCAAGATGCAGGCATTACTGGATGGTCTAGAATATATTGCTTATCCTTAATTGCCCTTGAGCAGTGTCTTTGTTTTGGCAGTCCACTCAAGATATGTTACATCAAGAGTTACAGGATTTTGATTCTGCAGTTCGAAACCCAGTGGCCTAGTGATGCTGTCACTGGAATGGAAATCTACAGCCCCAAGCTAATGCTCTGCGAAAATGTGTTCAAATCCCATGATGGCTGATGTGAAGTTTGAATTCATAAATGAATTAAAAATTGACATAATCTAGTAATGGAAAAGTCATTGTCAAAAATTCATCAGGTTCAAAAATGTCACTTCGAACTATCTTTGTCTGGTCTGGTTTACATTGACTCCAGACCTACGACTATGTGGCTAACTCTTAACAAACCTCTGAAAGGGCCTAGCAAATATTCATTTCAAGGGCAACCAGTGATGGGTGAGAAATGCTGACCTTGCCAGATGTGCCAAAATCCTTTGTACAATGTTCAAGACAGAATAACATGTGTCTTGGAGGCAAAGTTAGAGTTGATGATTTTCTTGTACTCTTGTCTTTGTAGGTGCTTGAGATACTGCTGAAAATGACTTAGAAACTTGAACTAGTGCATCCTGCAAACATTACACCTTACAACCACAAATGTGTTTGTAGTGAGATGAGTGAAGGTATAAGGTGGTAGGTGGGGTTCCAGACAAATGGACTACTTTGTCCTTATTGTTGTCAAGCGTTGAAACTGTTATTCAGCAACATCTAGGCAAGCAGAGAGTATTCTATACACTCTTACCATATGTGTCATAAGTGGAAGAGTGGATTTGGAGAGATGGGAAGATAGCCACTTATGCTGCTGCTGATCTGATCTGGTAACCATGGTGGTGAAGTGGTTAGTATGGTTGAATTTCTGGTCAGCGGGCCTGGAAGATATTACAGATGTAGAATTCATTGAAGAAATCACATTGAATGTTAAGTAAAAGTTGCTTTGCTCTTTCTTTTTAGGAACAGTCATTGCTTAGGATGGTGCTTATGTTACTTGTCACTTATCAACTCAAGCCAGATATCCAATATGCAAGGATGGATGGTTGCATTATCTAACAATTTGTAAATCAGACTGAACATTAAGTAACCACCAGTGGACATTCCCATTTCCATAATTTTTACGGCAGGAAGGTCATTCATAAAACATCAGAATATAGTTAAGCTTAGGGCCTCAGCTGCCCCGACGAACTGCTGCATATTGAGTTGGAACATTATCCTTGCACGTTTAGAACCATGGATTATACCCATCAATAACTGATGGCATCCCTCTTAGAATGGGCTTTGAAAATCTCAAGCTCACAACATAAACTTCAATTTCAGCAATAAATTGGCATTTCAGATTCAAAGTAACACTTGGTAGAAAAATCCCTTGTTATATAGCTTCATTTGCTTTTTGTCAGTCTCACAGCAAATTGTCTTCCTGTCCAAGAAAACCCAGATGCACTATCCTCTAGTTTGTTCATACATTGCACTGCGGATTTTAATGATTGTGTAGATGCAAAAAAGTAGTAAACTGTTTAATCTCAAATGTTGAAACGTCTCGCTTTCAGAAATTTGAGTGTCCTAAAGGAAAAAAGAAACTAAAATTGATCTTTACTTTCATTGTTTGAAGCTGGTTTCGCTGGACCATCCTTAGATACTATTTATTAGGTGATGGTGGACCTCCTTCTTTAACAATTGTAGTCCATGTGATGAAGGCACTTCTGCAATTCTGTTGGCTGAGCAGTCTTATTTCTAACCTTATGATAGAGATAAAGTCAATGATATAGCAGCTGAAAATGGTTGGACCTAGGACATTACCCCACAGAACTGCTGCAGTGACATCCTGGGGCTAAAATGATTGACTTTTCACACCATCCTTTTATTTCATGCTCAATTCCGACCACTGCAGTGTTTCCTTCAATTCCCACTTTCTTCAATTGTACTAAAGATCCTGGGTGCCACATGAAGTCAACGTTGCTTTGATTTTAGGAATCTCTGATTTCCTTCTGGAATCCAGTTTGTTCTTATATCAGACGCAAGGCTGAAATGAGGTCCAGAACTGAATGGCCCTGGAAAATCCAACTGATAATCAATGATTGGGATATCAACGAGTATTGCTGCTGTTTATAGCACTGTTGATGACTCCCTGCATTATTCTGCTGGTAATTGAGAATAGGTTAATAGGATGGCATTGGATGAATTGGATATATATTGTTTTTTTGGTCAGGACATAACTGGGCAATTTTCCACACTGTTGGGTAGATGAAACTATTATGGTTGTAGCACAGGACTTCAGTGCCAGAGTGGAATGTGTCTGATGCCCATAGACTTAGCTGTGTCCAGTGTATTCATGGATGATAACTTACGGAGTGTTGTAAATTACTGACCACTATTATCCATCATAGTTAAGATCATCCCGGTGTCCACCTGAAAATGGTTGCCAAGTTTTCATTCTTTTGTCCTCATCCAGAATGTCCAGAAAGTTTTCTTTTCCTGTTAATGATTTAATCACAACTGGATGCAGCAAAGTCTTAATTATTGGAGTGCAATTGCTTATCTCTGAACCAACCATATTACAGACAGTGATTAGCATACATGGAGCCCTTTGTTGTAAATTCACTGGGTTGATACATCATTTTGACAGAAATGCAGCACTCAGCACAGCATTTTCATTGAACCAGGGTTTTGCTTTATCGATCTACCCATTCATGTATCTTTGACTAGGATATAGCTTCTACTGACCATATTTTAACTTGCAATCCTTAATCATTTTCTTGTGGCCAACAAATGCTTTTGTAACAGAAATAAACTCTGTTTTACGTCTGAAAAGGTTGTTCATTTTAATTATATATGAGAATTTCTGATGATTGCACTTAGCTTGCTGTCTACTGAAAGAAATGACATTTACATGACAAACTTTTTTTTTAAATGATCTATGTGATTCCGCTGGTCCTTTGAGTTAATATAGTTTAAAAAAAAAATGATTTAAACAAGGTTTGCTCTCTGGAATGAACTGGAATGTGAAAGGATTAATACAATTGGCCTTCTGCCCCCTGAGTTTGCGAAGGGAAATTCAACAGGGTTTCTGGTTCTTCATTACCATACAACAGTCAATGCTACTGGCAGGCATGTAAAAATGCCTTGCCTAAACAACACTGGATTCAGTTGCGATGGAGCCCATAGATTGAACACATGTAGTTACTTGTTAACAACTGAATACACAAAGCAGATTTAGAACCCATGAAATATATCGGTGCTTTCAGGAGAAGAGGACAAAATGCCCAGAAAAACAAGACGGTTGTAATTTTATAATATCACAATTAAAGGGAAGAGCAATGTTGTCTGTCTGATGGTCTTCTATTTCATGCTCATTGCTTTTGGATAGAGAACATCCTTGGGTTGCTGCTGCTGTAAATTTTGATCCGAGCAACAAGGTTATTTGTGCAAGTCGGATCATTTTATGGGGAAATCAGGTTCTAACAGTTTCTGGAATCAAATTTTGGAGGCTCATTCTACCAAAGTGGCTTTTAGGCAATATTGCTCAATTCACAGAACTTCAACAAACTATTCAAGGCTTTCAATTTTGCCTATATTCATTGATTTTTAGACATACTCAATTGAATTTTGAAAGTCACTGTGGACTATAGCAAACCCCTCTTCGTGAATTTGTTGGAAATGTCAAACCTTGTTTCTTCTTCTTTTGGTATTTACTTATGATAAATTGATCATATTCTGAAATTGTTATACTATTTGTTTTATAATGGTTGCATCAAAGAAAATTGTACTGCAGTTGAAAGAACAATCAACTTTATCATCTTTCAGACACTGTGAATTCATCCACCATTGAGTTCCAGAGTATGTTTTACACCTGCTTGGATTTAATTCATAAAATTCATCTTTCCTTTGTAGACCCTGGAGAAATTAGTGCATTACCTGAGAGTCTTCAGGAAATAAGGAGGATGAAGATGAGCTATTGAATTCTTACATTTGGAAATATAACATCTGTACAGAAGAATCAATTACTGATTGCACATATTTTCTATGTTGGGCTACATGACTTCTTAAAGTGTTTGTTATCAAAATATGCATTTAATTTTACTATTTATAAGAAGCTAGCGTGGACATTTGTCCTCTATTCAATCATAAAGACAGTATTTTACAGTTGATTGATGCACTGACAGAATTACACAAGCTGTACATTTTTAAGAAACAACAAATAGAAAAAATATAAACTTAGAATTAAAGTGGATCTTGCTTCTGGATGATCTACAATTAAATCCAAGTAAATTCTTTCAGTTCTCTCTCCTCCAACAAACAGATTTATTTACTTCTCAGTGTAAGATGAGGAAATGTGATTACTTACCTTAGAATATCAGTATTATATTTCATGTGCCTTTTCTCATCAGAAGTGATCTGATAAATAGATTAAAACCTGGTGGCTGATAGATTACCTTTATGATTGTTTAGTATTTACGGTGTGAGAAAGACCAGACCAGATTATGTCTCCTTCAATTTAGAAATGAGTTAGCCCAAGAACTTAGTCTTTATCTGTTTCTGTTGCATACTTTCTGTTGTTGTGCCAATTCATTTTGAGATTGTTACCTCAAACCTTTCATTACTGTACCTATCTCATACTCATATTTAATTTCTCTGGCATGTTGTTCATTAGATGACTTCTTTCACTTTCCCCCTTTAACTGACATTTTCTTTATTATACAAGTTTGCATGATGATTTTTATAACACTCAAATTGATATCTCTGAATAAACCATCTTAATTTGGATGCTTATGCACAATTTGCAAGCATATATTGTGAATCGTAATACATGCATTTATTACTATGTTATGTATGTTACATAATACAATATACACAGTATCCTATCATTTCCTTTGCAATGGCGGTTACTGATCTTCAAAAGATATTAAGCCGTAAAGCATTTTGATGAAATTGGCTTCAGTATATTAGTTATCAATAAATATAAAGGTAAGTATATCATCATATCCAAAAATTGTCTATTAGGCTCAATTTTGAACACAGGTAATCAAGACTATAATTCATGACTGTAACATAATCTATTATAAATCATTACATTGCTCCTAACTTGTATTGAAAAGTGTATGAAAAATATATTTTCCAATCTATTATTTGCCATAACATTGATGCTACAATTTGACGAGTTCTAATACAGACATATAGTTTCACCCATGACTTTGTATATTTCAAATTTACAGCCTTTGCCACAAGTGGATGATTGCAAATAAGAAACGTAGAGAATGACCTAGCCCGATCTAAGTTGGAATAGTTAAAGAATTCATTGTCATACATTTGAGATCATAGCAGCTGTTTCTAACATCAAATCAGAAAATCGACAGTTGAGAATTAGCACATAACACATGTTTGTTTCAAATGATGGAGCAAAATTAAAGAAAAAATGTTATTTGCTGTCTTGTCCCCCAAACTATACTCTCATCAATCATTTACTATATCCTGGTGGATAAATAGAGATGCTAAGCTTTCATTTTGTTACAACATACAAATTTTAAATTGTTACTTTCTATGTTTGATTATTGTTTCAGTTTTTACATAATAAAATTATCAACAAATTAAAGGTCCTTAAATTTGGATTTAAACATGAAATATGGTGGTTCATTTTATAGATAAATATGATATTTAGAATGTACTAATAGAATTATATAATCCCTTGACAATGTTCATACTTTTACAAATTCTGAAAATATTTCAGACAAACAAAAATATCAATACTTTTCATGGTCTGTGAACTAAATTTAGTTTAAACCCACTTTATCAATTCCCATGGAATAAACAAACTGTAATTTCAAGTGATGGTGGATTCTTTTGTTGTTTGTCATTAGTGGAGAGTTTTCCACAATCAGTTTTAAAAGATTAATAATTATAGTCACCTGCAATTTCCTGTAATTTCTTTCTGCACATTCTGCAATATCCTGTATTATATCTGAACAACTCATTGTTTATGCTTTGTGATTGTTCTGAATTCATGCAAAATATATTACCTTCATATATTTGGTCCCTCATTCCTATTACTATCAGTTCAATATTTGTTAAATAGCATAGACCAATGAAGTACGGGTCAAACGGTTTAGCACACAATGTTTCACACATCTGTGACTTGAGTTCTATCTGACTAAAAATTCTCTACTATCTTTAAGTGAAGCACTTTTGGCAAGTATTAATTTTAAATCTTAAAATTCTCCATAATTTGGTGCCAAATAGAAAGAAAATGCCACCTTCAACTTTGTCAGTGCAGTTTTGAAATTTCTTACTTCGGCCATCCTGATGCCCTCGGAATGAGATTGAACAAATTATTCTAATAACTCAATATTAGCGCACACACATTAGTGCTGAAATATTCTGGGCAAAAGATGCTTCTCTACTTAGGTTGATTCAATTACCTTATACTGATTTCTCATGGCTTCACTAAAGTTAAAATCTTGTAAAAACATATTAACAGAAATGCAAATAACAAAAGATATTAAAGTTGGTCAATTGTCTTTTGAAATCTTATATATTACAGCGTTATGGAACTGTTTATGAGCTCATCTACACCTTTATGCTTCATTCAACAGTCACAAATATATATTTTTAGAATCAGTTACCAGTAACAAATTCTCAATCAATGGCTTGGGAGGATGAATTGCTCTACAGCAGATATCAACATCAGTGTCAATAATCTTAACATGGTAAAAAATGACCTTGTGTTGACTTTATTCTTCATTTCAGCAAAATTAGGATTTAATTTTAACAAATATCACACTTTTGAATAAAACATACTTAATCATGGAACTCAGGTAGGTCAAAATGAAACAGTGATGACAATATTGTTCAAGAAAGCTGACTTCAAATATATTAACAGGCTGGAGAGTGCTACAAGATAGTTATAGCTAACAAAGTGTTTTTCATCTTTATCCTGTTTTGTAGAACTATAGCTGTTGGATTTTAAAGTAGGAATTTGGCACATTTTCATTAGATAGTAAAAGTTGACAAGTTGTTTCCAGGATTAGTAGATGCGCAGGTGGTGTCTTCTACGTCAAATGGTCATTCAACTAGCACAGACCTTCTTTCTGAATTGAATATGATAGGCAATGTTACTGTTTAATACATATCAGTTCAACTTTAATTTTGGTTTATTCATGGAGAGAAATAAACATACACTTTTCTTGAAATTATCTCCAACTTTTTTCTTGCTCTATTTCTTTACATAAAGGTTTTATAAAGAACATTTTTGCATTCTGTTTTTCTCACCACATTGTTATCACAGTTTTCTTATTGTGTCACCCATCTCTCTCTTCCTCACATTGCAAATAGATTATATATATATATATATATGGCTCTCATACAATTTTTGTAGATGAATTGAGATTCAATAATAACTTTTTAAAGGACAGGCCATGGTACAAGATGGTAGTCGTTATACAAGAGAGTTGTAGCAAGAAAATCGAATATGGAAGTTTTGTGTGGAAAGAAAGTAAGTAGAAGGATCCAGAACCTGCGTGTTTCCTGAAAATGCAACTTGGGATTAGTCATTGGTAACATTCAGTGGAGGCAAGTCTAGATACAAAAAGGGGAGTTTTAGGTCTTGTATTCTTCCATGGTGAAAACTGAAATGCAGGATTTTTGAGTAAGCTGAGATGAAAATATGTTATAAAGGTGAGTTCTGAGAAGGTAAGAATATGTGTTGTAGCCTGTGAAGTGCCATATATGCAACTATAGTTAATATAGTTAATAAGGAACAGGAACCAGAAATGAAGAACACAAAAATAATTAGTTGAATGTACGTACCAAAGCCAGAATATGTGAGTGATACTAAAGGATACCACCGTTGTGCAGTTGCAAATTTTTTAAAGCATACTGGAATTAGCTAAAGTGATTTTAGCTACTGATAATGTTTTTCTCCAGACTAGTTGGCAAATTTATAAAGTGTTACATTCCAATTAGAGACGTCTAGAATGGGGTTAGCCTGCAAACAGAATCTCTGCTATGAAAGTTTTGAGTTCTTTTTTCAGAAATGGTAGATTTTTTGTTGTGAATGTGAACTTTTTGGTAGACCGGAAAACAATTCTTCTTAAGTATTTGATTGCTTTACTTTAGTGAAATTAAAATAGCTTACCTTGTGTCTTAGGTAAAAGTCAAATGCTTTAGACATGTCAGATAAATACCACGCACAAAGTTTTAAACTTTATAGAAATAGTGATTGACATTAATAAATCGAAAGGTTATCCATATAGCATACAGTTTATCACGCCACTGATTCTGGCGGTAGGCACATCCAAAAGCAAAAAAAAAAGCCCTTGCTATCTTAAAATTCCAACGTCCTTAAGCTTCCAAGTTTGCTGTTGCAAATCAATGTTTTCTATATTAAGCCAAAATTGAAACAGCATTTTCTCATTGGCGTAAATGATGATAGTGTTAAAACTTTAATACTCATTAATCTTAGCAGTAACATATTAGGAGATTAAGATGACAGTGCAATGACTGGACAATGAAGTATTGTAAAGTAGCTTCCCATGTTGTATGTACTAACAGCTCTAAAAGTATTGTCCAGACAATCGGTTATCTTATTCTATCATTCTTATGACCTTACACTACTTGGCAGAAACTGACAATTTTCCTCTGGCCTTCTTGAAATTGCAAAGGGCTTTTTTTATGATGAAGCTCTTCAAATGACATAAATTAAATTACTTAACATAGTGGATGGGTTTTAAGAATTTAGATTTTTTATCATTTAAATATCTGGATTTTCATACATGCTAAAAAAAGACTGTCATAAAACTATATCATATTATTGTAATAAGAAAAGTCATCTTAATATACTATAATTATTTACTTCTTATCCATATTATCAGCTCAAATGTATGAGGCTCCCTCATATAAGTAAACTTGTCTCTGCAATAGTTTTTCGATTGCGTCTATATAAAAATAGCATTGCAGGAAATGCTTTGCCTTGATGAAACAGGTAAATAGAAAATTCAAGTATAACTTCGATTTCAATTTTACAAATTATGTATTTCTCAACTATTTATGTATGGCAATTGATATAAAGTATGGTATTCATTTACATTTTTAATATTTATTCCAAAGGAAGAAGTCAAGACACAGTCAAGTTTATTATTTTCCAAGAATCTCACACATATAAGTTTTTTTTTAAACTTACTGCCTGATTAACCAACCTAAGATAAATCATTTCAATGATACATAGACCCTGGCTTGCCAATGTAATAAGTACTGTGCACATATTATGACAAATGTAAGAAAGAGTAATAACTAATGCTAATATTTATTCACCATTTAGCTACAAAATGTACTTATCACCATCAAATGTACTTCTCAGACAATGGCAGCCAAATGGTACATGGTAAAGCATTCTGTTGCATCACATTTTATTAATGATTTTGAAGAAAAAATTCTAAGTGGGCCCACAAGAATCATTACAGTGTTATTTCATTGTAATGTTATGATTGGCATGTTTGGCAACAAATTTGAACAGAGTTAAATCAGTTTCCAAGAAACTAATGTTGACATCAGTAAAATACTCTTACAGTCTTTTAATAAAAGGAGTCATTTTCCTATAAATGTTACAAATATTTCTAATTGAAATATTATAATTATTGTATCTCTATACTTTTAAATGGAAACTGCAATCCCCACCAGTCTCTGCAAATACGTTTTGTTTTACCTATAACGAACAGATGTCTAATAACTTTCCCATATGAATGAAAATTGACTCATTTAATGGGAATATACACACATTTTCATTTTTCAAAGAATTGTGACTGACAAAATTAAGTGTAGTCTTCGCTAATATCATTAATTATTTTTTCTACTTGACATAATAACATTAACATTTGTATCAATTGATTTTTATTAATTATGATGGCTTTATGACATCAATATTTTAGCATCAAAGAATCATATTAGACCATTACCTGCTCAACAATGCATCTATAGAAAACCATAGACTCTATTTTGCTTTCTTCAATTGCATTTTATCATGCC